TATTTTTTGGGTAATTTCGAAACTTGTGATTTTCCCTACAGTGTAAATATTAAGCTGGTGCCTGATAAACGCTTTGCGTGCGAAAAAATGTCCAACTCCCATCTTTTTGCGCCGGTTTAATAGATACACAGTCAAAACAAAACAAAACCAAACATGAAATGAAGTGTTTATATAAAAAAAAAATAATAAAATTAAAAAAAAAAATTCTTTGGAATTGCTCGGAGTGGGGACCGAACCTGGGTGATACCGCGTTTCTACTTCAACAATAAAAGAATATTTAGAATCTTATTTTACCATTTTAAAATCGCGTTCTCATTTTAAAATTAAAATAATGATTTTGCCATAAAATGATTTTTAAGTTGACTATGAAAGAGTTAAAATGGTGATTACCATAAAAAACAATTTTAATCTTCACAACCTTTTTCTAACTTCTCCATGACTACGGGCCATAAAATCCACAGCAATTTTGAAGGGTAAAAAAGCAATACAAAATTGTTTTCTTGGTGTTCATTGTGGCAAACCTTTTTCGTTGTTGTTGTTGTTGTAGTGGCTTACTAAACCCCGCTCGGGTCGGTTCATCCATCATCGTTGTCGTCTGTTTCAGCTAAGGGGAGGCACAGGAAGCGCGCAACTTCAACAAGATCTGTCAATATGGACAGGGGCGTTAGCTGGGTGGGGTTCTGGGGGCATGGGAATAGGTGCCAGGAGTCATGTGGCGACTGTCCGCATACCGGGCATTTGTTGGGTACATCCTCATTCATTCTGCTCAGTTAAGCCTGCTGCAATAGCCAGAGCGAAGATGGGCTATTGTGGTGCAGGTCTCCCGAGGCAGACAAAGTTCTGTCGCGTCCACATCGACTGGTTGTGTGCCCAGAATGAATGGGGCCTTGCGGCGCATACTACAGCTGTGATGGGAGAGAGACTCTATCGCTGAGTACTGCCGTTCACACCGTTCGCATCAAAGTGAGATTTTTAAACATCTCGCTCATCTGCGCCCAAACCCCGACGTTCTGTCTTCGGATTGAAAGACGAGACACCAAATGGATTATGTTGTCATAGACTTAAGGCATGCTTCCAGTGTTTTGGACATGCATGCACTCCGAGGGCCAAACATCCACTCCGACAATCGATCATGTTGTCCCTGAGCAGCAAAAAATGTGCATCGAAAAATGCAAGGAAAGATCAACGTCGAACAGCGAGTTAGACGACCTTCGGAACACGGGGAACTTATATGCTGCTACAACAACAACAACAACCTACGGAAGATTTCAAGACCAGGTCAAGCTCCTGTAAAAACAAACATGGCGACTGATGTCCAGAACATACTTCAATTATGGAGGGAAGACGTTTCCACACTTTTGAATGGTAGCATCGCTGAAAGTCGTGGAGAAGACGGAACCGAGCCCCCAGTCGACGATGAGTCGATGTTCCACCGCTTTGAAGCGGTACGAATACCAATCACACTGTAGAAGAACGACGAAGCTGGGGGAGCTGACGATCTGTCAGCTGAGCTATTCAAGTACTCTTATGCAGAATATGGCTACAAGAACGCGTGCTTGACGACTCGAGTTTTAAGGTGCTCTGCCTAATCCACAAGACAAGCGACCCTGCCAATAGCGCCAATTACCGCGGGATCAGCCTTCTAAGCATATGCGTATTGTGTGAAAGGATGAAGGCCACCGTCAATGAGCAGGTGGAGCCTTATCAGTGTGGCTTTATAGCTGTGAAATTCACCATAGACCAGGTATCCACCACACGTCTAATCTTGGAAAAGAGCCACGAAAAGAGGATTGACACACACCATCTACATATTTGTCAACATCAGAACACATTTCCTCAAGCCAAACTGGGGTTTTCTCTTTCATTTAGATTTACTTTTTAAACAGGTTGTACTTTTCAAATGAACCAACCCATACAAAAATTCACTAAAGCGGAAGTTAAAACAGCACATCGAAAATAAACCCAAAAAAAGTATCTGGATATGACTTCATTGCGAGCAGTTTACTTCAGCAATTACGTCACGAGGGCATCACTTTTCTGACTCATGTTCTCTCAAGAAGCTTTCTACCGCCGCATTACAAAGTCTCACAAATAAAATAATTCTCTAACCCGGAAAAAGCACAGATAGATTCGAACCATAGAGACCAATTAGTTTACTCCCATTGTCTCCAAAGTAGAGTTGGCCATTGAAAGCTTTTATTTTGTGCCAGCCGTATGCAAATTGTACAGAAAGCTGTTAAAAGCCATAGAAATGGTTTTCTTTAAAATATTACTCATACTCAACCCCAAATTTGGTTTCAGAAAAGGGCACAGAACAAAAAAAAAATATATATATATTTCACTGCCGTGTTTCTTTGTATTTCGCAAGCTTTTGACTGCGTCTGTCAAGAAAGACTTCTCTATAAAATCAAACCCACCCACAAAACCAACTATTACATATTTATTCATTATCACCTAAAAACTCGCAACTTCTTTGTAAAACAGGGTATGCAACCTTCCGTACTCTATGCAAGCTCAGCAGGCTTGCCTGAAGGCAGTGTTATGGGCCCAATAATCTATTTACTCTACGCACAAGATCTTCCTTCTACAGAAGAAGTTACCATTGGCACTTTCGCACATGATACTGCTATTTTAGAATTCGATGTTCTACAAAGTTTGACTCTACTGAAACTCCAAAAAATCTTAGACAAAATCGCTCGCTGGCTACAAGAGCTACGAATAAAATCCAATGAATCAAACTCCATGAAGTAAAATTTACCTGCCCATCCGTAATACCTTGGTATGCACCTCAGCATAAGGTTAACATGGAAAACTCACACTCCACTCTGGACTAAAACTCAGAAACCTTCACTGGTTAGTGGAAATCCATCATAAGATTTCAATCAAAAACTGTAAATGCGCCATATTACGTCACAAATGGCAAAATCCATCGTAGTCTTAAAGTTCCAATTGTTTCCGATGAAATCAAAAGATAGGTTGCATCATATAACCAATGCCTGGAAACTCACCCAAACCCCTTTACGGTTTCGCCCCACTGAAGCGGAAGTCAACAAAAGATCTACTACGTTGAGCCTTGAACGGGTGGTCACAGTAATGGAATGGTTGTACGACTGGGTGCACGCCATACCAGTATTGCCAGAAATAAATATCCACTTAGGGCTAGAATCTCCAGAAAAAAGGTATATAAAAGGCTAAATAAACAGTTTTAGAGCTAAGAAAAAGGCTAATTTTATTATTCAACAATTTAACATTTTTTTTTATTAATTTAAGAACGAATTTCCAAAATTTTATTTGTTTGCTCGTAAAAAGAAAACATAAAAAAAATCACTAATTATGCTAGTCACACGAAAAACGGACTTCACTAAAAAGTGTTTTTTTTTAGATTAATTTTGGGTCGCTAAACACGAAAATAAATCTCTTGTACAGTCATTGTCAAAAAATAGCTCTCTAAAGATATATTTAGCCTCATTGCGTTGATATATTTTTTGTGTCTATCGGAGTAGTACTTTTTGAGTTTCAGGCGTTTAAATTTGAAAGATATATAAGAAAATTTTCAAGTTTTTTTTCGAGAATTGTTCATTTTTTCATTATTTTCAGTTGATAAACTTTGCAAAAAAAAAAAAAAATAATTAAAAAAGTTAGGACGGAGGATAATTTTGTAACGAAAATGTGAAGCATAAGAACGCCCAAATCGGACAGAAAATGTTACGCTTTTTACAAATTTAATAAACGTGCACTATTTAAATTTTTGCTGCAATCACTCATTCAGTTGAAAATGTGTTTTTCCACACAAACAGCGGAAATGTTTAAAATTAAGTTAAGATTTTTGAAGCCTCAAAAAAGGACCGTTTCATATTTAAAAGGGCTAAAAAAGAGCAAGAGGAGAAAAGCGAATTTCTGAGGCAATTTAAAATAAAAATGGCAACACTGCTCCATACATATACAGGGTGTCCTTGATATAATGTCCAGCCCCTCTAAAAAGGAGGATTTTATTTTTTTTTGAAGAAGGCAAAAATACGCCCTACGGAATCGGCGATGCTCTATCATTTGATGGTATTATCGACCGGAAGTAGGTTAAACTGACCGGAAGTCCATTTTTCGAAATGATCCAGATCTGTTTGCTACTTTTTTCTGCCTTTTACAAACTCTAAATGACCGTCGAATTTCAGTTCGTTCTGGACTTCTGAAACTAGTGAAAATATTTTTATTCGAAAACGAAAAAATATAAATTAGCAAGTCTAGGTTGCTCCATCTTGGTCGTATTAACAACTTCTGGCCCATTTCTTTAATCCTGCGAACACAAATACATAACTTTTGTCGGACTTTGTTTTCGAATGAACTTCCGGTTAAAACAATGGGCTTCCGGTCGGTTTAACACAATTACGGTCAAAATCCGAAGAAGGAAATACAATCGAAAGATAGACCCGACTTGGTTATTCATATTTTTTCATTTTCCCATAAAAACATTTTCACTCATTTCCGAAGCCCAGGACGAGTTGTAGTTCGAGATTCATTTAGAAAGTTTTAAGCTTCAAACAAAGTTACGTATTTTTATCCTCCGAGTCCGAATCTGTAGCCAAAACGTGTATGATCAATTTAAAAAACAAAAAAAAAAAATTCGCTTCCGGTCAATTTAACCAAATTTCGGTCGAAACCGGAATCAAATACAGATGATAATAAAAATTTGATATTTGAAACCAAAGAAAAAGGGGTTTGCAATTTTTATGATAAGATTACCATACAAAAATTATTCTCGTTTGCTCATATTGTGGTAAAATTGAGGTGATCTTATCATTTTGTCGCACACCTTATGTATGTAAATAGTTCTCATATGTGGTCCATTCAACAACTTATTTAAGAAACGAATTGATAAACTAAAAGCCTGATTATGGCAACTTAACTTAACGGAACGTAGAACTTAGAGAATCAAAATGAAACAGATTTCGACGTGGCATTAAGTTACGTTAAGCTTCGGCTGTGCAATTATAAGCAACACCCATTTAACAGAATTTTTAAGAGAGAGCCGTAAGTTCGGTTAAGTCAACAGAAACCGAGGTTCGACATAACCTGTTTGAAAATATGTATTGTAACTTTCTTTGGTAAATTTTGGTACTTGCTTTCTTGAGCACTTGCTTTATTGGAAGTTTTTTGTTACAAGTACAACTACAAAATTAAGGTTAAATATAAATATACATAAGTGCGTTTATAAATGCGTGTTAATTACATTTCGATTAATTTATACATGCACAAGCCATTTTCACTGCGCTTCGAATATATGTATGTTTATCGTTAATTATGTATGGAGGATCGTGGTTATATCGATGAC